CCAGAAGATCTTGTCAAGCTTGAGAAACACTGGCTTAGAGGTTTCAGTGCAGAAAGGTCCAGGTTCCAGCCCTGTCAGAGGCAGTTAAGGGACTAAAGTAGGAATAAACCCTCTCCTGGAGGTTTTGGGGAAAAGCTGCCAGCCAGATAAATAAACTGGGTTCACACATATCATGCTAAACCAAGGTTTGGGCTTTTTTTCATAAACCAGAGTTGGTTGGATTCCCTGAGCGCTCTAAACAAGAACCAAACAAGCTCCCTTATGTTTTAGCCATAACTGGATAAATAAGTGAGCGGGTTGTGTTTATTATTCAAAAAGGGTTAACTTTATGAACCATCCTCACCAGGAGTTTACAGATATGCTCTGATCACCTAAAATACAAGAGTTGAAACGTCTAGCATTCCGTTTAAAGTTATAGTTCAAATGAATACCAGCTGAAGACACCAATCAAATAAAGATGAAAAAGTGATGAGGTGTGTGTATTTCTCACCAGAAGAAGTCTCATACCTAAGAGTGGGGGAAGTCACTTGTTAGGCAATGTATATTAAGAGGTGAGCTTGCAGGTTATTTAATCTATTTTAGCATAAACTAGGTTTACCTGGTTTGTGAAAAGAAGTTGAGGAAGAGATCCATGGACTTAAGCCATGATATGGTTTTTGGGGATAACATGCTCGGTTTAGCCAGCCATTTTGGCTTGTAAATCATGGTTTGTTTGTCTATTTACTCACATGTGTATGTGGCCTACTCCTTGCAGTTCTAGATGACTCCTTGCAATCCTGGCTGGTACATAATTTAGCCTGTTGCATAAACCTCCTGGCCTATGCCATGAAGACTATTGTATGGCTTAGTGTGTTGTGGGAACTCAGCCAATTATGGTTTATTCAAGAAACCATGGCTCTCTAAGCAATGGCTTAAAAAAAATGTGAATCCAGCCAGGGTGCTTCCTGTATGATTTTAATGATGAATCCAGTATGCTCTTAATTTGAACTGTGAACCTGTTCTCTTTTTTCACCTTAGCTGAGGTTTGCTTGCTTGTAATAAAAGACAAAATAAATGGTAGGAAAACAGGAAGGTTACAAAAAGGTAACGTCTCTAAGGCAGTGTTTCTCAACCTTGACAACTTTAAGATGTGTGGACTTCAACTCCCAGAATTCCCCAGCCAGCTGGCTGGGGAATTCTAGAAGTTGAAGTCCACACATCTTAAAGTTGCCAAGGTTGAGAAACCCAGCCTTAAATATTCATGCATGGAAAAAAAGCTGTGTTTTAAAGTGCTCTAAGGAAAACCTGGCCATATCTGGAACCTCCAGGAGAAGCATGAAGTTCCTTAAAATTGCACCCAGGATGTCGTCAAAAAAGGGTGGAGAAGTATTTCACTCGTAGAAGAAGGAGTAGTTTGGTTTGTAAGGAAGTTTTGTTTTGTCCTAAGAATATTAGAACAAGGAGGGGTTACTCAGTGAGAAGGAAAGATATTGTGGCTTAATGAAATGTGTAAATTTGTGCATTTTTGGGTTATGTAGATGGGTAAATGAACAGATCAATTTCTCTAAACAAAAGGCGTGACTAGAACCAGAAGATCCTAAATGGATTAACATTCGTAAAAAAGAATGCAGTGAGTCCCTTAATGCCAAAACGAACACAAGCTGCAACATATTCATCTCTAGAAACATAGGAGACTATTTTATATTGACTGGGTTTACACATTTCATTAAGCCACAATTTAATCATGGATGGTTGAGTAAGGCCCCCTGGCTGGATTCACACATCTGCTAAGCCACAAAGCATGGATGAAAAACCACAATGGCTAGTTTTACACACGGTGCTAAGTCTCAAGGTGGTTTGCTTGGTGTTGACTCAGTATGTTCTGTCAACTCAGGTCCTGTGGTTAGCAATTCATGATTGATGGTTGTCTGGATCCAAAACAACTGGCAGGATTTCAGGCAGGAGATGCGGGGGGCTGAACCTAGGCCTCTTTACATGCAAAGCATGTACTCGAGTACAGTCTCTCGGTTGAAACTGCAGACTGACACTGCAGCTGATTTCAGCTATAAGCATTTTTCTGGAAACCTTGCTCAAATGGTTGAGATTAGAGCAAAGTTGCAACAGAGAAATATGTATATATTTTGGTTTGGAGATATCCCAGATGATTTCCTTCATGCCTCCCAAACTTTTCATTAGCACTTGGCAATTATTTGGAAGAAGGCTTGTTGATGGAGATACTACTTACTACACTTAAATCTAGTGGAATATACTTTTTTTCTAATTAACTTTCTTATCTGGATTTAACTAAGAAAATAACAAAATGTAATAACGATAAGCTGTTGTTCATCCTGTAACATGTATCCATCACATCTTTATCTGTTTGCTTCCAGTTTCATTCGTGGCTGCTTAATTAAAGCATCGGAATATTAGCCTCGTGTTATTTTCTCGATCCTAATACTTGAATTTTGCTGAGGTGTTTTATCTGTAACAGACAGATAAAGTTTGCTGCACATTGTATTGGATTCACATAATTTTAATCGGCAATTGTTGTTTGGAGGTAGGTGGAAGAGAGGGCACAGATCATGTTTGCTACCTAACAAGCTAATTAAACAGGGTTTTTTGGGGGGGGGGGGTTGCCAAAGTTGTGCCGTCATATAAAATTAATATCAATGTTTTGAATCTGTTAAAAAAGAAGAAGAAGAATGGAAGTAGAAGCTCTGAAAATTGTGGCCGAGTCTGGAATCTAACACAAAGTTCTCACTGATGTGTTAATTACAGAAGAGGGTAGTGGAAGCACGCACGCACGCACACACAGCACGTCCCATTGCTCACAGCAGCCCTCCAGCCATGCCTCTCTTAGACTCAAGACTTGGGCAGGACGAACAGCTTCTGAATCACGTCTCCAAGAACGAAAGAAGAAAAGCCAATCCCCTTGGCCTGGCTGGTTCAATGCTTGAGAAAGAATTCCAGGTGATGGTTTGTTTACTGCTGGTGGAACTGTGTGAAAAATTCACTTTCTTCGGCATCGTCTGTAACATGCTCCTTTTCTGCACCATCAAGCTCGAGTATCACAATTACGAGGCAGCCATGCTCAACGTTTGCTTTGTTGGGGCATGCATGGTGACCCCAGTTCTGATGGGCTGGCTTGCCGAACACCCAGTGGGACGGATCAGATTGGTGTACCTCTGTGCCTTGCTGCATTTTATCGGTAGGTATCAGTTTCTCAGGGCGCCTTATTGTTGCTGGTGGTTATTTCAAAATGTAGATGGTGTTCAAATGATGGCTTTCTAAAACCTGAATGTTTCTGTACCAAATGGGAGACACGAATGAGCGGCATACTTTGAAATAGCGTATTTGGCCTCTCTATTATTTCTTTATTTATTGGGCCCGTATGTTGCATTTCCTGCAATTTCTGCTGTGAAAGTAATCGATGGATAATCAATGGATCTAAGTGGCCTTGAGAGAACAAGCAGAGATTTATCAGATTAAGGGAATTGATACGGATATTGGGCTAAGGAAAGGGTAAGCAATATTGTCCCAAGTCTTTCTGACTTTATTTCATGTTTTGGTTTAATTTTAGAAAATTAAAGGTGGAGCTTTATTATTTATTCATTATGCCTCCAGCATAACCCAGCGTAATATTGTTCGCTGCCCAGAGTCACTTCGTGGGAGATGGGCGGCCATATAAATTTGACACACAAATAAATAAATAAAATTCAGCAGCAGAGACGACACGCTGCGGGTCCCGTCGGCTCTAGAGCTACATTTGGCAGGTCCTAAGCGGTCGGCCTTGGACCTGCCAAAGTTGTGGCACCCACGTGATGGAATATCCTCCCGCCTGAAGTGAGGCTGGCTTCATCCCTTGTGTCTTTCCAGAAGTCCCTCAAGACTTGGTTGTGCCATCAGGCCTGGGGACCCCAGGAGACCGGTGAATTATTGAGGTGGCTATATTTATTTAAGCAATTTATATAGCCGCCCAACTCACTCACAGTGTCTCTGGGCGGCTTACAGAAATAAAAAACCCAAATACAAAACCCACTACACTCCCCCACCCCATATTATTAACATCTCTTCACCTAATACTTCTTCTCTTTTATTTTGGGTTTTTTTTTTTTACAATGTTGAATGTTTCTTTTAATATTAATAATAATTGTTTGGTATGTATTAATGAATTGTTTTTAGCCTTGTTGTGTGCTGCCCACAGGCACTTCACTTGTTTGTGGGATGGGTGGCTATATAAATTTGACAAATAAATAAATAATCTATTACAAGAGTGCCTCTGAGTCCGACCACAGGTCCCGGGGGGGGGGGGGTTTTAAAATC